GGGCTTCGGATTCCCCTGGAACTGGAGTTAAGGACAGTTCGTAGCCTCCATGTGGGTGCTGGGAATCGAACCCGGGTCCTCTGCAAGAACAGTCAGTGTTCTTAATCACTGAGCCATCTCTCCAGCCTGCATCATTTTCTTTTTTAAATTTTGTTTCTTTTTATTTTATTATATGAGTGTATTGCCTGCATGTATGTAAGTGTATCCATATTGTGCAATGTCCTTGGAGGTGAGAAGAGGCACTGGAGTTAGGCATGGTTGTTAGTCACCATGTGTGTTCTGGGAATCAAACCTGGGTCCTCGGAAAGAACAGCCAGTGCTCTTAACTGCTGAACTTTCTCTCCAGCCCCAATCTTAACATTTTCACACATACATACAATGTGCTTTGATCATATTCATCACCCCATTCCCCTTCTCTTGTCCTCTTCCTTCTCCTTTCTCCCGAATAGGCCCTCTTCTAGTTTCACATCTTTTCAAAAAATACACAATCAGCTGGGGCTACAGGGAGACCCTGCTTCAAAAAGACAAAAAACAAACAAACAAAAAACCACAATCTACATAGGAGAAAAACATAAAGCATGTGTCTTTCTGAGCCTGACTTAATATGGTAGTCTCCAGTTCTAGTCATTTTCCTGCAAATGACATAACTTTATTCTTTACGGCCACATATATTCCTATTTTCTTTATCCACTGACGGGCTCATAGGCTAATTCCATCCTTGAGTACTGTAAATAGATCTGCAATGAATGTAGGTATGAAGGTATGTATAGTGTATGCTGACTTTGATTCCTTTAGGTAAATACCCAGGAATGGCATAATGGATTGTATGATTGTTCTATTTTGGTTTGGGGAAACTTCTGTGCTGATTTTCATAGTGGTCACACTAATTTACCTTTGCTCATTTCAGGGATGTAGTACAGGGCCTGGTGAGGTCACATATTCCTGTCCTTCCCATTTCTGCTTGTTTTCTTTTTCTTTTATCTTTTTTTTTTCTATTTTTTTGTGATACAGTCTCACTACTTTGTAGCTCAAGGTGGTCACCTCCCAAGTGCTGGGATTATAGGTGTGCATCGCCATGCCTGGCATTTTGTTACTTGTTTTCTTGATGATAGCCATTATGACCAGGATGAAACGCAATCTCATTGTAGTTTTGAAATGTATTTCCTTTATGGCTAAAGATCTTGAGCATTTTTTCATGAATTCATTGGTCATTTATACTTTGTGTGTGTGTGTGTATTTTTAAGACAGGGTCTCCCTGCAGCCCCAGCTGTCCTGGAACTCACTACATAGACCAGGCTGGCCTTGAACTCACAGAGATCCACCTGCCTCTACCTCCCGAGTGCTGGGATTAAAGGTATGCGCCACCACACCCAGCTGGTCATTTATACTTTTTTTTAATTTTGAGACAGAGTCTCACTGTGTAGCCCTGGCTGGCCTGGAACTCATATGTAGACCAGGTAGGCCTCAAATTCACAGACTCACCTGCCTCTGACTACCATACCCAGGTATACTTATTCTTTTGAGAACTGTTTAATTCATAATGTTTGCTGATTGAGTTATTTGCTGTTTTGGCGTTTAATTTTTTTAGTTTTCTATATATTCTGGATATTAATCCCATGTCTACTGATTATCTGGCATAGATTTTCTCCCAATCTGTGAGATATCTCTGCAACTGTTTTCTTTGTTGCTTGGAAGTTTTTAAATTTAATATAATCCTCCCGCTGTCAATTTTTTAAAAGATTCATTTATGGGGATGGAGATGGCTCAGTGCTTAAGAGCACTGGCTGCTCTTGCAAAGAATCTGGGTTTAGTTCTTAGCACCCACATGGGGGCTAAGAACATCTGTAACTCCAGTTCCAGGGGAATCCTATGCGCTCTTCTGATCTCCTTGGGCATTGCATGACACAGGTGCACTTACATACATG